AAGGTCATTCTCTTGCTCAGCTGCTGAACCAATAATCGTGGCTGAACGCACCACCAGAGTCAACGACATGTAGTTTTCTTTCCAAGATTTTTGTTTTACTACATGAGATGTCTCGACGAAGATCTGTATTATCTGATTTAAATGGCAATGAGAGGGAGAGAAGTCACAGCGAGTGCTGAACTGAATCGGGAGATGCGATCGCTTAGGTTTAAAGTTGTCTGTCGATCGGGCGGTGAATTTTCAGTTTGTTTGCTCCGTTATTATTTTGTTGATTTGTAAAATAACCTGTTCACCATAAATTGTGTTTTCCGTTTTTTAGTTCCCAAAACTGTTGTGACAAAAATAGTGTGATGATTCTTTTTCCATCTTCAATGCGTAATACATAGTACTGGAACAACCGCTGGCGGGGACTACTGCTGGTATCTTACATTCAGTTCACTTTCTATATCATGTATAACAAATCTAACTTCATTGAATCCGTCAAATTATTTATTGAGAATAATAAAGATAAAGATAAGATAAAGAAAAAAAACCAGGTAAAACAAGGATGCTCACACACACGTTTTTATAGCTGCTTGTCTCGTGCTCTACGTGTAGCCAAGTCCGGGCCCAAGTGTTTCACTTCCGACTCATTGTGGTCGGAGTCCATGACACGTAATTTAGTCACGAAAACTAAGTCTGCCATGTGCTCAAATTTTCTACCTTCTGTTTATACCTCCATGGTCTGATCAATTAAATCATGGAAGGTACCTTCCATGATTAAATTTTCATAATAATCGCTTTACATACTGTCGACGTTCTTCTCCAAATTTCCTTGCATTCGTTTTCTTTCGTCACTGTCATAGTCGACCCCAAGACGGTTTCATAGTCGACTGCTTGAAGAGCGAGAAATTCAATGATGGAATGCGTAGATGGAATGCGTGTAACTTGTACCTCGGACTACTAATACTTGTATTACTAGTCTGAGCTTGTACTGAATGCAAGAGACTGTTTATATTTGCTATGGGTGGTGACTATTATGCAAATTATTTGTCTATTATGTCTTTGGCTGATTAATTAAAACATAGCTTTCAAAACAATGACATGTAATTTTGTTTTTAATTAACAAAAATTGATTTTTACGCTCTATAAAAACATCCTTTTCACTTTTTTTCCTACTGAGTGTTTGCTCCTTGTAGTCCAGCATTGAAAAATACAAAAAAGTAGAATTTTTGGTTTCAAAGCAAAAAAAGGTGTACAGCATTCTTAATATGAATCACTCCAGTATTGCAACTGGGGTTCATCCTGAGTAAATGACAGAATAGAAAGAATGCGAACCACATTGTGTACTTTTTCCATGCACTCTGAAATTAATGCGAGTTTTCTCATAAAAGCATGAACCAAACAACCATGCCAATCACTATTATTATGAAATGAAACACACTTTTTACACGCATATTTTAAATAATATCGTTGAGGCCCAGTAAAAATACTCGTGGCTTATAATCGTGAATGCCCTCAACTCGATAAATACCATGGAGGTTTATACCTCCATGATAAATACCTAGTAAAAATAGAGGGATGGGCTTCATACTCGGGAGGGGCTTACGATTGGGGAAGTACGGTACTTTAACGCAATTGGGCTTCCACTCTCAGAATACTGTGGTTCAAACGCATAATGCTCTAACTTGAGTTCTAAAAAGCACATTGTGCATATAAAAGTTGAGTTTATACTAGTAGTACACAATGCTTGACAGCATGAACGGCTATGTACAATGGCGTATACGAATGCGATCAGATACTAAAACGGTCATAGCTTTGAAAAGTATCTGGATGTTAAATATGTTCGTTCGTTATTTATTCCCCTCCATGAATGGCCTTCATGGTGTTTAATTGCATGCACTTCAAATGTCTATCCAAGCTAGTTATAATTAAAACAAAATTAAACCACTGCAATATTATTTTGAATACAGTCTAGAATATACACAACTATAAATTAAGGCCGCATTTAGGTTTGCTTTAAATGTACATTTATGTCAATTTGTTTTTGTCCCACAATCATAATATTATTTTTCTAACACTTCTAAAATAATATTGAAAATACTGATTTGATGATACGATTTGTCTTAATTAATGGTATGCCATTTGTTTTTCTAGTCATAGGCATCAGGCTATTGCTTACATTGCATTTGTTTTTTTTTTAAAAAGGCCGGAGTGAACTTTGAGCATGTCAAGCCAGATTACGTGAAAGGTTTGTGTGGTTCATTGAAAGAAGATCCCAAACAGAAGCTACCAGTCAGAGTTCATCCCATTGTGTTTTTGCCAGACACATTTGATGCTAGAACACAGTGGCCAAATTGTCCTACAATTAAAGAAGTACGAGACCAAGCATCGTGTGGATCTTGCTGGGTAAGTGTTCAATAAGTGTGTTGAATATACTTCCAGTGCTATTCCTTGAGACAAAATTTTGCAAGAGTCACTTTCACTTTATTCTGTAGGACTCTGGAGAATTTTGCACTGCTACAAAATGTTGGGCTTTTTTACTGTCATGCAAGATGCACAAAAATGTATCGCTTGCAAAATGGTCTATAGCAATGTATGTCATTAAAAAAAGTGGTGTCCGTCTTTTGAATTAAAATTGTATGTAATATTCTTTGTAGTTTTACTAGTATGCCCATCATACTACCATTGACCATCTTTCCTATGCTAACTGTTTTGACCACAACATGATATTATGACTTTGCCACTTTGACTATATTTAATACGATGTTTATTCTTCCATTTAAGGCGTTTGGTGCAGTTGAAGCTATGAGTGACCGTTACTGTATTGCGTCTGGTGGTGATACAAATGTACATGTATCTGCAGAAGATTTGCTTACATGCTGTGGGTTTGAATGCGGTGCAGGGTGAGTATCTGACTTCACATCAATTGTAGTATGTCATAACTTTTCCTGCATTCTGTTTTGCCTTAAACAAATATGAATTGAAATTTTGTTTCACCATAAAGTTTGTAGCAAGAAAATATTTTCATCAGTTTGTCCAGTCGTTGGCTTTACACACCTGTTAGATTTTTCAAGGTGGTCCTTGGTATTAGCCAACCCATTACTTTTACCCATTTTCCCCTTTACTAGGGTTTTTAGTGAAGTCATGACCTGGTCATGACCTTGATCTGAACATGGATGAACTAAGAAAGGATGAACCACTTAGTTAAGAGGATTAAAAAGGCACTCGAGAAAGTTTACTTTTGGTGTTATAATGCGTTAAAATCCTCTTCAAACCTTTGTCTTACCAATAAGCATTCAGATAAAACATGATAAAACCAGATCAAAGTAATTAGATGAGTCTTGCCATCATTAAAAGGGGTGTGTACATCGCGTGAAAAATGTAATATTTCATACCGTTTACAATTTCAATGCGCATTAAAAAACAGCGACCAACACGCATGCGCAGTTTCGCCCACGTGACAGATGACCTTTCAAACACCGGAAATAAATCAGCTTGCCAGAAGTTTGTTGACGATCGGGTGAGTAACAGTGCTTTCTTCGTGGTTTTTGAAATTTTTGCTTTGATTTTTTATCGTATGATATTTCAACTTTCCTAAAATTTGCGACAAACGAGTTTAATATCAGATCTGAGTTTTTATCTTTTCTGTTTTTTACCGTGGTCGACGTTAGTGATAGCACAAGATAGCAGGTTGAAAACACGCCATCAACTTGCTACTTTTTTGGTAATCTGTTTTCACTTTTCACCCGACTCTTGACGAATTAAGGGTGTCACATCGTAGTAGCCCCATGCATTATAGAGGAAATATTATTAAGCGGGTTTTGTTTTTATTTTCACAATCGACATGACAATGGTTTCAATTGTTTTACTTCTAAAATTAATCGGAAATGGTAAATATTCCCTATGCATGTTTTTTTACAAAGCTTGCAAACTTCATGTATTTGTAACTTCATGCCTTCCAAGTATTATGATTCTATTTAATTACAATTCTAATATTTTACTACATTACCTAAAAAATAAATACAGGGGTGTGTGTGTGGGGGGGGGGGGGTAGAAATGCTGTTAAGGGTTGTA